TATATATATATATATATATGAAGAGGTTATAATAACACCGGTATAATTTTTATTAAGTATTATATTTTTTAATAACTTTATATTAAATGTGAATTTTGTAAATTCAACTGTTAGATTGAAAGTTCATATCTCTTAAATTATATATACAAAATTTTATATTAATTCAAGATGATTTGATACTTTATTTTTATAAAACAAAATTGATGTAATATATTCATTTCAAAATACACTAAGCGCGTGTTTGGTTTCATGTCTACCAAACTTAATTCGCGTAAAAAATGCAAAAATAAGAAGCAAGCATTTCTTACTTCTGCGTGAACGTGGATCTTAAACGTGAATCCAAACACGCTGTAAAATATGAACACTTTGATTACCTTCAAGTTGTTATTCAATTTTGACGAAATTTGATATACACATATAAAGTGATATGAACTTTCAATCTAACGGTTGAATTTACAAAATTCATAATTAATATAAAGTTATTGAGTGATGTAATACTTAGTAAAAATTACACCGGTATAATTATAACTTATATTTATATATATATATATATATGTATATATGCCATAAACAACTGTCATTAATGTTAGTTGCCTACCTCAGGTGAATAGTGAACATTCAGCGGCTAAGACAAGACTATTATTGAGGAAGAAAAGAACCCTTTTTACCAGAAGTTTGGGATTTTGTTTCCATCACAGGACATGGAGTAACGGTCCCTGTTCATAACAAGGAAATAATTGTGGGTAATAAGAGCTTGTTGGCTGACCATAACATTGAAATTCTGTTAGTTGCTGAAGATATGCTTGCTGAGGTCGAAAAGATGGTTCAAATAGAAATTTGGGTAATCTATAAATAAGAAAGTAGTTGGAGTTTTAGCAGTATCTGATCCATTGAAACTAAGTGCCCAAGAAGTCATTTTAATTCTCAAGTCGTTGAAAATTAACATCAAGGTGACCGAGGACAGGACAACTTTGGAACTGCTAGTTCTATTGCGAAGGAAGCAGGAATTGAAAGTATTTAATGATTACAACTTTTCAACTTAATTTTAAGAAACTGTTATCCATATGAGATGACACCATAAATTTCAATGCATCTTAAATTGGCTTGAATCTCTGCCTGAATTCTACTTAAATTTAATCTTGTAATATATTGAGTGACTCTTTTTTTTTCTTTTTTCTTTTTTTATCTCAGAGACTTCTGGGTACACTGGCTATGGTGGAGGATGTGGGAATGACAACAGATGTTGGTATAGATATTGCTATTGAGGCTGCTGATATTGTCCTAAGCAGGAATTGAAAGTATTTAAACTACTAAATAAAAGGATTCCAAAGTGTTGTCTAGTATATATCTACCACATATAAATGAAATACTATTAATATTTGATACTATTTATTATCATATAAAGTAAATAAGTTAACATTTTTTTATTATTAGACTTTACTATATTTAGTTATATATAAAAATTGGATTACTAAAGTCTTTTTAGTAGAATTTTTAATGTTTTTAATTGTACTTTTATTTTTTACTTATATGTTATAAGTCATTTGACTTCTCTCTTTTATATTTTATTTTTCATCTTCAAATTTTTAATGACATGACTTTCACAAACATGTAGAAGCTTTGGCTTTTGATTTTGTCAAAACTTTATCTTTTAGATGATTTTCATTCTTCTTATAAATAAGGAGCATTGTTGTACTGACACTAATGAGGAGTAGTATTAACATTTTAATACTCTTGCAAAGTAAAAAATAAAAAAACAAAAAAATAAAAAAACAAAAAAGGAACACACAATAAATCACATGTTCTCCTCACACGTTGAACCGAAGAGGATTCAACATTCACTAGTTTATATGTTAATGGAAGAAATATATTTTTAGAATATTCAACATTTGGTTGTTATTTTGATCTTCTTTCCCATACCAATAATGACTAAAAGAAATTATGTTTTTCTTACAAAAAAAAATTGAGTAGTTTTTTAATTAAATCAACACTTGAATGGAGTAGTGATCAATCTTTTTTATTTTTAATTAGCATTAATTTTTTCATTATTTTTCTTTTTAAATTTAAAAATTCTCTATTTTTTAAAACTTTTAAAACATATATTAACAATAGACTAATTTAAACAGACATATTTAATTTCTTTTTTAAGTTCCTTTACATTTTAGTATATATATATATACATATATATATATATATATATATATATGAAATTTAAATTTAATGTAATAAGAGACCTATAATATGTTATGAAATATTAACTTCTAAATTAAACTTAAAAATACAAAATAAGTAAAAAAAAATTATCTTTAGAAATGAGTAGTAACTACTAAGTAGTAATTTATTCTTATTAGACTTTATTGTTCTTCGTGAACATATATATCTTGCCCTTGTACCCTTAAATGGATGTCCGACAAAAGATGGTTGGTGTGTATGGACTTTTTACTTATATGACATAAAATTAAAATTAGTTGGTTAATTTGTTAACATATTTCAAATTTAATCAATATTATAAAATGGAAATAATATATATATATATATATATATATATATATATGTATATAAGTCTTCTATCTTGTAAAATTTTTCATATTTGTTTTGTTCAAATTTTAGTATAATTTATCTTTACTTACATACTTTTTGAAAAATTTCTTAAAAAGTTACTCATTTTTAAATTGTTTCAAGTCTTAACTGTGGATTCACTCGAACACTTTCTAGAAAATTTTGTAGAAAGTCAGTCATTCCTAAATTGCACTAAGTCAAACACACTTAATTTAAAGTTCTTTTGTGATAAATTATTGAAAAGTAAATATATCTTGTTAATATAAATAGTAGAAATTAATTCTTTCAAGTTATTCTTAATATAATTTCACATTTATACAAATATCTTAATTCAATCCCTTTCATATCAAAGTGTTCATATTATTACATATTTTATTCTCTTAATATCAATAAATTAAAATAAGGATAACTAATAGTTATAATGGTATAAATGATATTATTTTAAAGGTATATTAAAACATTAATTTTTATAGTCCTTGAATGAAATATGATAAATAACAAAAAAAACAGTATATCCATGAAAATTGTTTGTTTTTGTTGAAAAAATTATTCTATCAAATTTTATGTGATCAATATTTTGTTTCCATGAGATAAAGGTGTATAATTTTTTTTTTTAACAAATTCTTTAAAATTTTCTTATTGTAATTATACACGCAAAATATGTGATCTATGCATCTTATTCTCATGAAAACAAATAATAAAAAGTATTGTTTAAGACACATATAAGTTATCTGTCAAAGATAATTACTTATATATATGGATTTAGTTTGGAAGAAAATTACTTAGTTTCCAATTGTTTATTTAATAATGGCATGTACTGATTAATTTGGAACTCTTTAGTAATTTTAAAAATGAACTACCAAGATTGTTTTAATTTTTTTAAGCACTACAACAACTCTTTCTTAAAAAAAGAGAGAAAATTCAAAAATATAAAATATAAACAATACAAATATTAAAATCAAAAAATACAATTATTAGTGATAGAATTATAAAATAGTATGAAGCCCCTCAGAAAAATTGATAGAATTATCAGAAAAATACTCAAATCTTATATTAATTAAAAATAAAATTAATAAAGAATATATAAATAAGAGATAATTTTTACCTTATAATCTGATTTAGTATATAAATAAGAAACAACATTTACTTTACAATAGAAAACAAAAAATGAGTTATGTAATAAATATAAATTTTGTTTGGATTATCTATTTTAGAAACACTATTATCAAAGAAAAATGAAATAAACTTCTTCTCAAGTTAGGATTACAGGTTAATTGTAAAAAATTTCTTCTATTAACTTAATTATCTGAAATCTTATTTTAACATGAAGAAATTAATTTTTAAGTTTCCTCTTAATTTTTTCTCCTAAAACTACATAATGTAAAATTTATCCAAACAATACATATACGTTAAAAAAAAGAAGAATAAATTGCATACATTTTGTATAGCATAATTAAATGGATGATCAAGTTTAAGGGAGCTTGTGAAGGTTTCAAATAGGCTAAGCTATCCCAGCCTATGTTTAGTTGAACCAGCTGAAATGAAGTTTTATAATAATAACTTGATAAATTAATCAATTATTTTTCAATTTTTTACTAAACCTAATAAATACATGCATAATCTAGCATATTATAAAGAAATAATTACTTAATTAACATACCTTTTGAAAAAAGAAATTATATATATATATATATATTTTTTTTTTTTTCTTGACACATGTACGTTTCCAAATATGTGGCAAGTTAATTTAATTGAAAGAGACACGATGAGAGACTTAAAAATGAATGTATATTAAAAAATGGATAATTATAAATAGCATGAAAAAAATTTACACAAGAACTTTTGCTATTTTAATATTGTTTATTCTGAAAAGCTACAGTGACCTTCTACACGATTATTTTCATTTTGACGAGTGTTCTACAGCCACCAACCAAATCCACAAGAATTTGAAGAAGATAACAAGAGTCAACTTAAATCTTCAAATTCTGCAGAGTTAAACGGTGGCGTTTTATTTGCAACAAAAACTTATACGATAACTAAAATAAGTTTCCTTGCTACCTTACAAGAAGACTTAACTTACACTGACACTGCATCTTCCATGCACTTCACAGGTTGTACATAGTGTAATGAAAAGCACTTTCTTAACTAAATTTTCTTTTCGAAAATTCATGAAACTTGTTATGTTTGTTGAACTTACCACGGCAAAGGATCTTGGAAGCAATTCTCGGAGCAGTAGTCAAAGATGCTCTCATTTGCTTCATTCAACCAGATTGGAAATTCATCCAGTTCTTCGAGTTCATCAAATATATGACATGCATCATTATCATCATCTTCAGTAGTAGTCATGACTTCATGCGCATCATGTTCCATGTTCTTTAAGCAATCGAACCACCATGCAGAAGTGATGAAACTCAAAGTGTCGTTTAGCTCCACTTGATTTTGCTCTCCCAATAATCTGATCTCTTCCATGCCCTCATCATCCAATGCTACATGCAAATCTTTAGTAGTGGCACGGGTTGTAGCACTGGACTCAATGGTATCCACCGCTGAGGAAGAAGCCCCTTCTCCTTGTGAATGTGATGATCCAATTGGAGGAACATCTTGATCATGATTAGTCACAAGTGGAGGAGAAGATGGTGTTGGAGATGAGTAAGAGCACAATGAAGAGTTGTTGTTGCTGTTGTTTGGGAAAAGGGAAGGTTTTGAATTGTTGAGATGACATGTATTGTGGTTCAACCCCAATGTCTGATCTGCAAGTGTTAAATTGGGGTTTTTTGGTGGCTTAGGAGGTGGATGAGAAAATGGGGAAGTAACAGGGATGGAATTGGAGTAAGAGTTTGGAACTAAAGGAGGAGGGTGGAATGAGAAGGATGATGAGTAGGATAAATCATTCATGTGATTTGAAAATTTATTTTTGGTTGAATGGTATATCCTAGAATTTCTCCTAGACCTTGATCTCCCATCTTTGTTAAAACTTGAATGGGAAGGCTTCAAGGACACTGGTTGTTGTTGCTGCGGTTGTTGTTCTTGTTGTTGGTGATGGTGTTGAAGGCGTTGTTGAAGTTGTTGTTTCTGCACATTGGCTTGTCTCATATTCACAGTAGCCCTGTGGTATTTCAAGGCAGTGACAATCTCCCTCCTTGCCTCTGCCATGTTCAGAAGCCTTTCTTGATAAGGCCTACTAGTGTGGAGTCTTCTTCTAATTTGTTTTTTGTACTGTTGTTGTTGAGCACCATTGCTTAAATTTTGATTTGAAGAAACATTACCACCAACAGCAGCACAACTTGGAGGAGGGTAGTAGCTTTTGGTGTTCATGGTGGTGTGTTTTGGTTTAGAGGTGGCTTGTTCTTTCCCT